ATATAATCCACACAGTGGCATCAAGGCCAAGATCTGAGGCAAAACAGCCTTTCTGGCTAACAGACCTTTCAAGTGCTCCTGGAACCTGCAGCAGAGCAGTAAGAACGAGCCAGGCTATTCTTGGCATCGTTCACAAATTCCTCTGCCTGTCATCGTTGCCTCAGATCCTCCTGGAAATTCTGACTTAAAATCACACCCGTTCGGAATTGGTACCTATGGGGTATAGGTGACACCTGTGGAGTTTGGGAACCTGGCTGCCCTCTGAAAATTAAACTCTCAAAATCCACACGCGATGATGGGCAGGATTAGTTATCGGTACAGTGGGGATGGGATATCTCCTTGTGAAAACCAGAGAGTTGGATTTGGAAACTCAATTCAACTCAATGTGAAGAAAGCATGAGCCTAATTAATTAAGTCTCAGGAAAATTTCTCAACAGTATAAAAGGGGTTGCAGAATCTTGAAGACCCTTAAGAGGAAGGATCTGTCTGGTCTGCAGTACTAAGAATAGCTGTTATGTGCCGCTGAGTTAGAATTGGCTCATAGCTGACCCTTCAGTGGGTTTTCAGAGGCTGTAGACTGTAGGAGGAAACTGCTCGTTTTTCTCTCAGAATCTGGTGGACATGAACCATGAAACTTTGGGTTGGCAGTGCAACCCCTTACCCACAGAGGGGACCTTAAAGGTGTTAGAGGGCCCTCAGTTATCTCTGATGATGATGAAACTGTCCTACCTCAACAAAGTTGTATTAACATACCACTCATGAACTTTCCTTTGCTGTTTCCATGTCCAGTCTGATTGTTCGTGTCCAGTTCTAGAGGATCTGTGTAGAGCAGTCACCGGTTTATCTTGTACTCCTTGGCAGTTACGGTCTTCATTGTTGTTATATGCCGTCGAGTCGACTCCGACTCATAGCGACCCTATGTACAACAGCTCTGAACCCTGCTCTATCCTAAGCCAATTTCATTGTCTCTGACACACCTACCCTCCTTACCCCAGTGACTGAGTTAATCCATCTCATCCAGGGTTTTCCTCTTGAGCTGTCCCTTCTCCCTTCCAAGCATGATGTCCTTCTCTGAGGACGGGTCCCTCCTGACAGCATGCCCAAAGTATGTCAGATAGAGCTTAAAAATCTTTGCCTCCAAGGAGCAGCCTGGTTTCACCCTCTGCAGGACAGAACTCGGCAGTCCATGGTGTATTCACAGCAGCACAGCTCAATGGCATGCATGGTCTTCATTACAAATTAATAAACTAACATTGTAACTAGGCCTCTTGTGAGCTTCCTTATCCTCTCTGAGCCTGATCAGTTCCTGATTGAGACTTCCAAAGCTGATATGCAGACCTCCCACCAGAAGGGGCATATGGGGCAGGAAACCACCATAACTCCCACCCGTGCCTACGTTCTTAATCCACTGTGTTGTCAGGCACAGTCAAGTCCATTTGAGCTCAAGGAAACCTAAAATGATAGCATTGTCCATGGGGTTTTCTTAGTTATAATCTTCACGTGCGAGAGCAGGTCACCAAGGCCCGCTCCCAGAGCTGTTACGTAGGTTTGAACCACCAACCTTTCACTTAGCAGCTTAGTGCTTCACAGTCTTACCATCAGGTCCCCATCAATGAGTCATCTTTTCTAATTACTGACCACAGCCTCAAACTCCTACCCTAGGCATTTCTGCTACCAACCAGGAGGGCTTGGGAGGGGAGGGAAAACACCCTGACCGACCAGCCTGACAGCTTGTTAAGTGTTTCTAATGGCAATAGCGACATTAAGCATAATTTCAGGAAGTGGTAAGCCAGCACTCCATCAGGGTTATTTTCTGGAGTACAGTCATCTATCTATTCGTGATAACATACACCAAAAATAGAACAAAGAGCAGTCACCATGTCATTTTCTAAATACTGCTTTGCACACGATCTGGCCTCCAGTGATGACGTTCAAGACTCGTGCACCAAGAAGCATCATACTGATGGGTGCAAAGATCTTCTGTAAATAAAACCAAGTTCATCGGGCACATGCTTATAGCAGCTTCTGGAACATGTTTAGAAAGCATTTACATCAGGAGGATAAAAGCCGTGTTACAGTTAAGTGAAAATTTTGAGGAGAACTGTTATAAAAAATGGCTATTTTTTTATATTTTAAAAAAATCCCTTGGCTACAAACTGAAAAGGCTGGCAGCTTACATGCACCAGCTGTTCCTTGGGAGAAAGATGTGGCCGTCTGCTTCTGCAAAGACCTAAAACCCTGGAAAGTCTATGGGCCGGTTCTACTGCCCCGGAGGGCGAGGAGTCAGAAGTGACTGGACAGTGTACATCACCAGTGACAACATACAAAATGATGACGGGAATGAAATGCAGTGAGCTACCGTGAGAATCTCAAGCAGCAGGATTCTCGTCCCTGCTTCTCCTTTTCTGTTTTTGTTCTAAACATTTGTGACTCTTCACTGTTCTACGGTGAAATATGGAACGCATTAGAATTTTTTCAATTACTCTTTGTAGAAACATAAGGGGCCAGAAGAAAAGGATAAAGGAAAGATTCTGAGGTCTGAAACAAACTTGAACTTCATAGCAATTCTTCTATGTTATAAACAATATAGGAGAAAAAAATCTTCCCTCAGACTAACCAAACACAGGGCCCGAGGAATGACTGCAAGTGAGAATGCAGATTGGGGGAAAGGCCAGGAAAGAGCTGTGAGGAGCCCCGCTAACTCATATCCACGTTCACAAGTTACCTTTGCTGAGAAGGAAAATAGTGAAAGGGTTATTTTGGACTGATTTAACCTGGCCACCTGTGTCCAGAAATGTAGTAATGGGGTCAAAATCAGATTGGCCTTGCAAATCCCTTAACGTGAGAGCCCAAGTTGCTGTGTCCACATTTATCTCCTCCCTCAGACTGTGTGTGGTGCTATGCACTGTCAGGTGAGGGATGTGTCTGAGAAGATGGACCTTAGCAAAGTCTGAACATTTTCGGATTCTGACATTGCCAAAAACATCATGAAATTAAAATAGTAAAGCAGGATCTTGGTGACTTGTCAGTGTTTGATTTGCCGTGCAACTGAATGAGTCTTGCAGAGATAGACCCTCAACCCAGATAGTGGGGTCCTCTAGCCTTTTCACCACTGAAACAAAAGTAGCCTTTGAGTGGCCCTAACAGATGTTTAAAGAACCTGGCATTTCTGAGGCAGGTTAACCCTTGTCTCTGCATCAGGATAAGCTGCATTTGAAGTCTACCCCTAGCTAGTTTGAAACATCATTAACACTAACCATTTGAGGTCACTGCCTCTCCAACCTCTAAAAGAAAACAAAACTCCTTGGAAAACACAGCATAGTAAGTAGGGTAACTTCAAACTGTTAAAACACCAAAATACTGGCTAAATAGCCAATATCCAAACCTCCTTTACTGAAATTTTCCTGGAATACATGGTTACATTTCCTAAAAAGGGCTAGAATTGGCTTAATGAGATCTAGCTTGTGCTCAGAAGTGTTATAATAGGGTCATGGCTAGGCCCCCTTTGCAAATTCCTAAAATAGCCTCTTTGGATCCTTTCCCTCTTGCTAATTCTAGGCTGTGATCAAAGCATGCACATAGCGCCACCTCTGGGTGAAGATGGGTACTTCTCAGCTTCCCAGCTTTAAACTGTGGGGTGGTGGTGACTCTGATTTTATTAATGTCTTAGGAGTCAGAACCAACTCATAGCTGACCTTCCAGTGGGCTTTATGAGGCTGTAAATCGCATGGAAGGTGTCTGCCCATCTCTCTCCCGTGGAGAAACTGGTGCATCCGAACTGTGTGCCTTTGGGTTGGCAGCACAACTCCTCACTACTAGGCCATCAGAGCCAAACTCTGGGGGCAATGAATCCAGTTAAGACTTGAGATCCTTTAAAGGATGTGAAACAGTATCATGAGACAGGCTACCAGGAAGTTCTCAGGCACTCTGGGGAGCATTTTAGAGCTGAGAACATTAAAATACATGAACACTGGTGGGGACTGGGTAAGAATGGCACCAAATCTCAAACAGGCAAGGATCTGGGATAGGAAAGTTGACTGAGGAGACAAAGCACAATCCCTCACATGGGGAGGGGTGGGTGCTAGTTCGTTGCTGCGTTCTGGGAAAGCACTGGTCATGGGAAAGGGGCTGATGGAGCACATGGCTACGCCAGGCCTTCTCAGTGCTGTACAGGGGAAGCCACGCTGCAAGTGGATCAGCATAACTTGACCAACTCGTCCGGGAGAGAGCGAACGTGAGGAGCCAAGGTAATGGATGAAGAAGGCTGCATGGGGCACAGTGCAGGCGGGCAGTGAATGCTCTGCTGGACAGATAAACGGTGCAGCTGGGGCGGCCTCGGGCAGGAGTATCAGGCCTCAGGTAGCAGCTGCAGCCTCCGATTGCCGGTGCTCACAGCACACTTGCTGCTCCTCCTGGCCTGTCAACAATCACTGACTGGGAGTCTACAGGACAAAGATGGGGGAGCCCCTGAGTAAATTCTAAAGCCCAGCCTATGTGCACAGTACCATGCTCTGTACATGAGGGAATGGACTCTGAGAGGTGGGCAGGAAGGAGTCAAGCCATGCTGCCAGATGACTGAAGACTGTTCTTACATCTGGAGGGGGCTACGGATGAAACACATTACCCAGAGAGAGGACATTTATTCTGCGGCTGGTCACAATAAATCTCACACCCCAGACTAAAGCTAGCTGCGAGCGATGCTTGGCTTCAAGCAGGGACTACACAGCGGGAGAGGGATGAGCTAGGTAGTCTCTGAACCATGCCTATTTTGCACAAGTCTTCTCTGGGCAAGAAACACAGCTCCTCAGTGGGCCCCAGATGGCAGGGCGGTTCCCATCTGGAGCTTCCAAAATCCCAGGCACTGATGTGGGAGCCAAGCTCTGTTCCAGTAAGTCACTCTGACTCCAAATTCTGCCAACCTCAAGCACCTGGAGCTGGGGGGGGGGGTGCTGAAAAGGGCTTCAGGCTGGAGCACAGAGTATTCTTGGGGCCCTGTAGCCTCAGGGCCTCCGATCCTTTCTTCGCAGTTTATGTCCTGTCTGGGAGCCCCGCTGGGCTGCCTTTACCAGGCCTTTGAACTGTCCCTGCATCTTCACCTTCTTCCTATGGGGCACAAGAAATAGAATGGTCACACCACACTGACAACAAGAGGCCCTTCCCGTATCAAAGCCACCTCACCCAGTGACAGCAGGGGCAGAGGTGCCTGGCAGTGGTAGGCAGGTGAGGTGGATAGGAAAGCTGCATAAGCAGCCCCAGCTCCACACAGTTCCCTTCTGACTTGACTGTTTCCCATAGGGCACAATCCCAGAATATCCCTTCCATGCCTTCCCCAAATGTCTATATACAGAGGTGGTCAGAACCCACACTACCCACCACTTTATGTAAAGGTAATGCTAGCAAAGCATGTTTTATGATTCAAGTTCAGAATTATTTGTATTGTACATGTATTTGTATAGTAGTAGGTCAAGAGCACTCTGGAATAGACGCCCTGGACTTTTATACTAACCCCTAAAAGTCCTAGTTAATGGCCAGAAGGGTGAAAGCCACTTTCATTTGCCACTATTTAGGGAGTTGTTGTGTACAAGAGAGTACATTTTGACTTGGTTTCATGTGAGAGTAGAACTGGCCCAGGATGTTCTTGGTTATAATCTTTATGGAAGCATATTGCCAGGTCTTTATTTGGCCAATCTGCTGAGAAAGTCTGAAATGCTAACTTTATGGTTAGAAGTCATGAACTATTTCAACGCTCGGGCTCCAATACAGGGAAATTAGAAAAGCTAATTGCACTAAGACATTAGAAATGGTGACTGTGGAGCACAGGTACTGGGAAATGTCTGTTGTTTGGTGTCACTAAGTCACTCTTAACTCCTACGGGCAAGAGCAGAGGGCTTCTGAGACTGTAATCTTTACAGGAGCCTTTTCTCCCTGGAGTTGCTGGTGGGTTTGAACTGCCAACCTCTCAGTTAGCAGGTGAGTGACTAACGAAGGCTCCTTGAGAAATGTTTATGACATTAACAGGCTAGACAAGCAGTTCATGCCTGAACATGTACATATCAGCTACATGTAGACACAGGGCAAAAAAGAGAAAGGAAACGAGAAGAGACGAGCTTCTGAGTTGCGAGTTTAACGAGAGTAAGACCCTCCCCAGCTTGGTGCACGAAGCTCCCTGTTACCTGCAGCTCTTGCCCCACACAATCACTTACCTGCGGTTGAGCCTGGCTTTACTGAGGGGGATGTAGGCGTAGGGGTCAAGCCGACCTTTCTTCTTCATGTCGCCCTTCGCTTTCTGTTCATCCAGAGTAAGAGTCAGTCATGTGCTGGGCTCCCCTCACCTGGCCCCAGCCTGACGGGTCTATTCCTGCCCCTCCATTCTCTGCCTCAGATGATGCCAGAGCTTCAGAAGCCCTGGAATCCCGTCCAACAAAAGTCCCCAACTGGACTTCAGTATGCCCCCATACACCTCGCTCAGCCTGGCTCCACTCACACACATGCCACTAGAAGACAGTGAAGGGCAGATGTCCTCACCCTTTCCCAGATGGCCTGTCTGGGCAGCCAGAGCCTCCTCCTCGCCTTCCTGGCAACCACCCAGCACAGGAAGACCCTCTGCTACCCTCAGCTCTTACCCTGGCCTTGTACTCAGCTCCGGGTGCAGATTTCTTGGCCAAAGGTCGATGGATGCCAGAGCCTCCAGCTAGAGGAAGAACAGAGACTGAGTCAGGCAGAGCCAGGGCAGCCTCTTCCCACACACCCTGAGAGCTGAAGAGGGCCAGAGGCAGCTGGGAAACAGGTGGGGAAAGGCAGGAACTTGGCTGTGTCTCCTACCAACCAAGGGCAAGGACGTTCAACAAGGAAACTGGACAAACCCACGTTCAACTCTCAGTTCTGCTATCCACTAGCTCCAGCTTCACACAAGTCTCTTCATTTTCTGAAACCTTTAGTCAAGGGCTTTTCCACTCTTTATATCAATTCTACACCAACATGGTGAGAAAAAGGTAGGTAATCATCCCATTATGATGCTGCTGTGATGTGCCATCAAGTCGCCTGTGACTCATAGTGACCCTGTGTACAACAGCTCTGAAGCCTGCCCTGTCCTGAGCCAGTCTCACTGACTCTGACACACCTACTCATACTGCCTCACTTACTGCATCAATCCATCTCACCCAAGGTCTTCCTCTCCTGTGCTGTCCCTCCACCCTTCTGAATATGATGTGCTTCTCAAAGGATTGGTCCTTCCTGGCCACATGCCCAAAGTATGTGAGACAGAGCTTCAAAATCCTAGCCTCCAAAGAGAAACTTGGTTTCCACCTCTCCAAGCTAGACCTCTTTGTTTTTATGGCCATGTTTTACGGTATATTCAAAATTTCTTTCTAATACCACAACTCAAAGGCATCGAGTCATCTTCAATCATCTTCAGTCATTGTCCAGCTCTTTGGTGCATAACAAGTAATTACGAAGACCATGCACAGATGTGAAAGAGATCAAGGTTCTTGATTAAAGTCACGGTTAGACATTTGTAGCCTAGAATTCCACTCACGGACAGAATCCCACGGTGCTGACGCAGGAACCCTCTAAAATGAGGAACTCAGTCCATGGCCATTGAGTCAGAACTGTCTCATAGCTAACCTTCCATTGGGATTTCAGAGGAAGCTCTGGTGGCCTAGTGGTAAGCTACACAGTAATTGTAAAGGCAGTGGTCTGAATCCACCAGCTGCTCCACAGGAGAAGGAGGGGGCAGTCTCCTCTCATGATTAAAGTGCGTCTGAATCTGCCGGAGGGTCAGCAAGGAGTCGTTCTGACTTGACAGCACACAGCAACAACTCACTCGGTAGCAGACTGCCCATCTTTCTCCACAAGATAAGGAACTAGTGACTTAGAACATGACCAGGCCACTGTCACACAGCTAAGCAGCATCTGGGCAAGCCAGTCTAAGCCTCCTGCCTCCCTGTCTGACCCTCTGGTTTCTGCATGTCACCTAGGGGAAGAGTAAACGGGGTGGTGGTTTGTGGGGCCCCGGAAGGAGAAGTTGAGAGGTTCTCCAGCCAGGTCAGGAACAAGGTCTGAGGTCACACTGCTGTTGCAATCTGGGTGTTCTCCCAGGAGCCTCTGAACCTCTGAAGCACAGCAGGGGCTCTGCTGCAGGGCCTGGAGGCCGGTGTCCTAGTGGGACTGCTCTGTGGAACAGGAGGTGACCTGGTGAACAGAGGCCTCCTGCGGAGCAAAGCAGCGCCCAGGGACAAAGCACAGAGCCTCAACCAGGCACGAGCCCAGCCTTCCGATCCCACCACACGCTGGACTTCTGTGAGCCTTGGGGAAGTCTAGGGGGCGGCAGAGGGGCCGACTCAGAGGCTCCCTGGAGGACTAGGGGGGTTCCATGTACAAATCTAAGCTGCACGCTCCTCTTCACCCTCTGGCTCGGTTCTGGGTGATGCTATCAGCCAGTCTTCGTGAGAGCTGACTAAGCCAAACCAAGCATGTAGCCTCATGGCTGTGAACCCTCGAATTTCCTCCCCAGTGGGGGTGAAAGGAGACAGAATGGCCAGAGAAGACCAGAAACCTCACCTTTGTACTGAGGGGGCACCTCCAGCTCCTCCTCATCGGCCTCCTGGCGATGCTTAAGCTTCAGATATTTCCTCTATACAGAATCAAACAGGAAGTTAATGAACAAGGTCCCGTGGCCGCACTCCCCCAATGATAACAGTAAAGGCAGCAGGCGCTGGTAATGCTGGGAAAAGCCCTCCCTCAGAGCTGAAGGAGATAAAGACTCAGGGAGGGAACGCAACTGTCCCAGATCACAAAGCCAGCACAGTGGGGGCTCTGGCCAGGTGCTGGTCAGAGTTGAGTCTCCACTCCTTGGCCTCTACACTGAACCCACTCCTGCCTGGGCACCCCAACCCTCAGCTTAGTATCCCTTCAAGGAAGTGGGGTCTCTGCATTCTGAGAGAACCCCTTCTTCCAGGTCTGCACCCTGCCTGGCCCCATGAGTCAACCACTCACCAGTGTCCCACTAAGTGTCACACGCCGGGGACACAGGTGACAGAACTCAGTGCCTGAGCTCCTGGGGCTCGCAGGCACATGCGATACCCCTACGTTGCCCAGCTCTCACAACACCCCCTAAGCGCTACCATCTAAGAAGCAACAAGCATTGAGAACAGGGCTCATTAGTATGTCCTATTATATCCAAGAGGAAGCTCACTAAGTGCCAGACACTGTGTTATGTATTAGGTGTGCCCCAGTCTACAGGAGCCTCCAGCCGAGCTGTTAACAAGCAGGCCAGACAGAGGGGCCGTGGAGGGGGTGCTATGTAGGAAGACTCGCTGATGGGCCTACTGTCTGTGTGCTGACCAGCGTCCCGGGGCTGTCTTTTCACACTGCTGACTCTGGGGCTCAAGCCCTCCAGGAGATTCCCAGGCAGGTGAGGTTCAAGTTCAATTCTGAGGAGCACTTACTGCTCAGGGTGCAAGGCGGGGAAAAGGGTGCCAGGGAATGGTTCTGGTGGACACTCATGGAACAGGGACCCTGCTAGAGAACATGTGGTGGGTGACTGGGGATGGGACAGTGGCCAGGTTTGCTCTTGATTAACTGGCACGTGGTAAGCAGCCGAGCCCACTGGGCACACACAGAGCATGTGATGTCCCTCAAATGGACAGAGGAGTAGGACTTGGCAAGTGTGTGTGAAAGAGCGGCCGGGACCTCAGCAGCAGGTGGGACTTGCGTGAGTACACCGTGGAGTGTGAGCACCTCTGAGCCCTCTCGGTGCCAAACACAAGGTGCCTCCTGTCCTGCTCTGCTCTGCTCTGAGCCGTGGGGCTGGTGTCACAGACTGTGGGCAGGTGTTGCTGGTCAGGACAAGAATCAGCTGCGGGAGCACTGTAGAGCTGTGAGGCTTTGTCCACCAGAGTTTCAGAAGCAGCAGCAGTGAAAGTAACAACTAATACTTCATATGAAGTACTAGATCTGTAAACAGGGATTAGAATCAGTCAGCCTGGGCCTAGAGACAAGCATGTTCTAGAATCATCTGGAAGGGGACCAGACTCCCCGTGATCAAAGGCTGCGCCTCACAGAGGAGCCAGTTTCAGAGCAAGGAAAGGAAGAGCTCCCACAAAGAGCCACTGTCCCCGTGGGAATCGGCTGCTCACGAGGGCAGCCAGGCGCAGGCGCCAACGCTCCTCTTCCTCAAGGACACCCCTCAGGCACCCCTGAACCCTGTCCTCCGGTGACTCCACAGACTGCATAGTTTCTAACTGCTGTCCATCAATCAGTCCTTTCCAAACACAACTCCACGCAATTCTAATGTTCTAACAGCAAATAAGCCCGAGGATCCTGGGGGCAGATGAACATTTGGTGAAAAGCAGACATTCATGAACACATTCATTAATACGAATGAAAATAATTCTAGAAAAGTAGAATTCTAAATGTGTTGGACACTATATATGCTAATGCCACTTTCTATGCCCAATCCCACCACACTGCACTAGTAATTGTACAAGATGGTCTACTTATAACCCCATTCTTCAGATTAGGAACTTAGGTCTTCAAAGGTTAAGCTGAAGACAGATAGGACCTAACACACTAATTCTACTGAGAGAGAGGAGGAGGGAAGAGAAACTGCTCAAGACATCCCAGAGACGCTGTTCTCTGGGCTTGGGAACGACAGGTGTCCTTGGTAAGCTGGCACACCTCGCTCCCACTGGTTCAGGCCAGGTAGCTGAGAGCCTGTTCAATCCATCCTGGGGCATCTTGCTGGGTCATGTGGGGCAACAGTGGCAAAGAGGGTAAAATGCTTGGTCTCTTGAGATTAGAGAAGTCCTGTGAGAACTTTTTCATTTTAATAAGTCTTGTGACCCTGGACAAATAACTCTGCACGCTGGAAACAGGACTAAAAGAGCCTTAACCGTCCATGAGAATGAAGCAGGGTGAGAGGCAGGGGACGTTTAGCACCGTGCTGTGCAGGGCAGACACTCCTATCCCATGAAGGACACTTCCATTGGGCACAGGCCAGTCTCCACAGCACGGCCTCGGTGGAGGGATGTGGAGCTCTGCTCTTCCCTCCTCTCAACAGCTCAGCAGCACTGGGGCTGCCACCACATGCTTCAGTGATTTAAGGCCCCACTCCCAGCGCCATCACATGCCTCCTCCACATGTATGCCTCCCACCCCGGGACTGCCTCCCGCCGTCCACAAGGACCCAGTGAGCACTCAAGAAGCAGGGCAGGTGGACTGGGAACGGGAAGGTGGAGGGAAAGGGAGCAGGTGGCCTAGGTTCCCGGTGCCCGCCCTCCCCCAGCAGGAGTCACTCACACTTCGGATGCTCACGTCTTTCATCAGGTCTATCATCTCCTCATCCTCCCCTAGAAGGTGGCATTGGAGGAAGAGAGGCCTGTGAGCGCATAGGGAGCCCTCCTGCTCTCCCAAAGTGTGCCCTCCCCCCTCCCCCCGCTCAGTGGTCAGGTAGGGCTGCCCCATCCTCTTACTTCCAAACTCTCCTCCTCCCCACTCCCATGAGTGGGACACTTTCGGGACAGGAAGAGCATGAGTACGAGCAGTCAGAGGGCAGACAAAGGTAAGCACAAAGTCAAGTACCAACCAAAGGATACAACAAAGGTAGCAGCAACTAATGGGCGAGGACCAGGTAAGCCCTGGGCCTGGCAGGAGTCCTGGGAGCGAGGCCTGGAGGTTGGGGAGCTAAGGCAGAACTGCAGAGGATCTGAGCTAGGTCTTAAAGAGCAGGGAGGCTGTGGAGAGGTGGAAAGGGGTGGGGGGGCAGCATTCTCAGGAGCAGGAAGACATGGGCAAGAGAGAGAGAGGAGGCTGGAGAGAACAAGGAGTGAGGACAGAGCAATGAAGGGACCAGAGAGGAACCAGCAACAGTTGTACACATAAGCCGACCGGCTTGCAGTGTGACCTCATTTAATCTGCATGACACCTCTTCACAGTAGGTGTGAGGCACAGGCAGCAAGGCACAGAGAGGAGAAATCCCTGTCCAAGGTCCACATTCAGCAGTCTAGCTCCCAAGTCCAAGTGACCACCACTATGCCTGCAGACCGACAGGAAGTCCTACAGTGGCTGGAAATTGAGCAGGACACCTGAGTGCATCGACTGCCTGAGCTCTCAGCACTGAGGGCGCCGAGGCAGTGAGAACACCAAGGGGGCTCCTGGAGCTCAGGGCCTGGGCAGTGTGTGGTGGGAACTGAAGAAACAGGGAAAGCAGGCATTTTCTAGAAGGTTTTGGCCATTGTGATTTCATAAATGGATACATGGAGAGGGAGCAGAAGCCTGACTGTCATGAGAATGAAGTCAGGACACTGGAGGGCCTCAAAATCTGGCTCTTTCTACCTCAACGTAACCTGCAGGGTCTCAGGAGAGTCTGCATTATGAAGACAGGAAAGCAAAGAAGACAAGAGGAAGACAGAGGAACAGAGTACATCATGTGCTCGGAGGACGTCCCACATAGGAAGGGAAGTGCTACAGCAGGGTAAACACTGCTTGAATGATACAGGGATTGTGAAAAGAACTGGAGATTGCAACATGAAAGCTTTCTTACTGCGGTTCAAAAAGGGTTGAGAAACTCAAAAAGTCTGAGAAAGCCACCTTCGCTAGAAACTCCTTATGTTTTCATCTTTGCTTCTCCCAGCAAGTGGTAGACGAGCAAAAGAATGCACGAAGAAAAGTGAAGGAGTGAGTGTGGGCCTCCTCAGGCAGAAGCAGCACGGTCCCAGGACAGACAGGCACTTTACCTTTCGTGCCTTCCTCTTCCTCCACCTGGTCATCGTCATCCTCCTCCCGGATGATCAGCCGGCCGTCGGCGCTCACCTTGAAGCCGTGGTCCTTCTTTTTGCCCCGGCCAGCTCCAGGCTGTGTGGCTGTTAAGGCAGGGTGCAGGGTGAGGCCGTAAGACAGTCCGCTGAGCCCACTCACACCCTCATCTTGACCAGTAAGTCCCAGTCTGTGTGCCAGAACAGCGCGCCTAGTGTGTGAGGATGTGGGGTCCCTCATCTGCTTCCCACCGGACCCTGGCATGAGGCGGGCCTCTTCAGAGCTGACGGGCTGGCACTCCTGCTTACCTAGGACTCGCTGCGCCACCTTGGGGTCCAGGAAGTTGAGGGGCTCATCCCCGCCACCCTCCTTCAGCCACGCCCTGCTCCTCTGCCGAGCCAGCTTCCGCTGCTCCTTGCCCCGGCTCCTTTCTTGCCTCTCGTCATCTTCCTCATCCTCCGAGTCAGCCAGAATCTCCTCCATGCTGAGGACGAGATGCCCCGAGTCAGCGTGCTCCCAGGAGGCGCAGGGGCAACTGGGCATGCCTGCTTGTCCCCTCAAGCCCCTCCATGGGTCCCACCTGTCCCCTTTGCCCTGGGCGGGCTCCTCCTCCTCCTCCTCTTCCTCCTCGTCCGCCACAGCCTGGTTCAGGGCACGCTGCCTCTTGGTCCGGGCCTCGGCTTTCCGGATGTTTATCAGGACCTTGTGGTACTCACTAGGCAGCAGTTCCTTCACTAGCTCAAATCTGAAGACCACAAAAGAAGGGCAGTGAGGGGCCCTGAGGAGAGAGAGCACTCCCAGAGGCAAGAGGCCACTCCTGGCCCCTGGCCTCTTCTCTTCAGGGCCCTGCTGGAACAAACCCTCCACTCCTCCTTCCCTCAGTGCACAGACCCAAACTTGCGGATGAACTTGGTGAACAGGTTCCGAAGCTTCATGCGGAAGTGCCGCCGCATGTCATCTGAAAGCTTCCCGATGGCTTCCATCTGCCGGCAGAGCACACGGACTCAGGGTCAAGCCCACCCTGGCTGCCCCTCTCTGGGCAGCATTCCCTGCTTCCCTCCTAGTCCGCTGCTTTATTCTGTCAAGTTTTTTTTTAATTCTTATGCTTTCAAGCCCTCACTCCACCTGGTTTGGATCACAGGGACAATATCCCCCTATCTGTGGCAGATCTTGTTATCTGCAGTGTCCCTCCACTTGGGTTGGGGGTAGAATTGCTTCATCCTAAGGGATCAGGTCCCTTGAAGGTCTTTTTATGAAGAACATGGCTCTGGCCATTCCTCCTGTCTTTGGCTCCCAGTAAGGCTGCAGGCTCTGGAGGGCAGGGGCAGGAGCCGGACTCTCATTGCCTTTACCTGTCATCACTTGGGGCCAGCCTCAAAGATATCAGAGGGGACCCTGGAGGTCTAATAGGATTCAGCCTACCTGGAAATGGACAACTGAGGGTTTGCTGGCCAGTCCTAGCTTTCTGCAAACTTAAAGGCCCCTGGGTCAGAAGGACCATGGTTCTTTTAACTTTTCTGCAGCCTGAACATGGCGGGTGGGGTGTCTCTGGAGGGGCCTCCTTGAAACAGGAAGGCCAAAAGGTAAGGGAGTAGGGAGGAGGCAATACAGGAGATGTTTCAGAGATCGAGTCTTGAGGAACTCCCTGCTTCTACTAATCTGAAAAACGAGAGGCAACCTTGCTAACTGGCCTCTCGTTCCCTGTTCCCTGACAGGCCACAGTGTCGGTTGAGAGGCAGCCTAGGCCTACACGTGTCCTGGCCTTCCCAAGCCCCATTTCGGGGCTCCTGCATTACCTCCTGGTGCAAAGAGTAGTTTGTGGCTGAAAATTGAAAATGCCTGGGACACACTGGGCTGGAGGGTGGCAGCCAGGAGGCCACCTGGCCACTGAGTGAAGGGATACTCACCACAAGCTGCACGTGCTTGGCCAGGTGCGCCACGTCCATGACCACCACTGCCACCTTGATGAAGCCCAGCGCGGACTTGACGACGTCGCGGGTGCGGGAGGCCAGCAGCAGGCACACGTTCTGCAGGAGCTGCTCCACCATGCTGCTCCCCATGAGGCCTGCAGGGGTGAGTGACACTGTCAGAGCGCCACCCAGGTGACCAGCCCTCTCTTGAGGAAGCAGCAGCTGCCAACGGCCCCTACAAGAGCTAACATCCTAGGGACCTGGGCCAGGTTCAGGACAGTTCTTGGCACTTTCCATGGTGGAGCGTCTATTGCTGTCCTTTAACTCTAAGAGCAAAGCTGTGTTTTTCTTCCCCATTTCTCATCTCTAGATACGAAACCGAGTTTAAAAAAATAACAAAAAACATGACATTTCAAGGGATTAAGAAAATATTACATTTCATACATACATACATACATACATACATACATACATACACACACAAGTCAATAAAACACCTCAGTGTCTCACATGACTGAGAAAGGCAGAACGAGGACTAAAATCCAGACGTGGGACCTAACCACTGACTGCGGGAGGAAGCAGAGCAGCTCCCTCCAGCTTTCGGTGACGCAGGGCCTTCAAGGAAAAGATGAATTTACCTTTAAACTCGAAGAGAAGGTGGGTCAGGGCCAGGATGCTGCAGCTGACCATGGTCACAGCGCCCACGAGGCCAGGGTAGATCAGGACAAGGTAGCGCTGCAGAGCCTCTGGAGGACAGAGACCGGGACAAAACTTATTCACACGTCACCCTGGGCCCTCCACAGAGGGAATCCTGGGCACACAGGAACAGCCTTCCCACGTACAAGACCAGGGAACTTGTCCCATTTTCCCTTTGACCAGTGGCTCTGAGGGGTGCATCCTTCTCAGCCATTCAAAAAGCATCCTCCCCCACACCCCCATGTCACCAGGCCTCACCTTCCTGATTCGAGCCAAATCGAAGGAAAGCGTGGCCCATCTCCACCAGAAGGGCGAAGGCGTTCTTCCGGGCCCCCACTGACACCTCCTTAGTGCACAGGATCACCTAGCACAGACAGCTCAGTGAGCCCACCTTCCCGGAACCACCCACCTGAGGGGATTCTGCCTGCAGCCAAGAGCACCAGGTCAGGGCACCCCTAAACCCAGGGGAGAAAACTGAGACCCTCTTCACTTCCAGTCCTGCCCTCCTCTGGCCCTCAGGAGTTACATTCCAGGGAAGCTCTCAGAAATACCCCCCACTTCCTGTACCACTCACCTCTGGAACGAGGGCGGCAATGAATTCCTCATGCTCTGCTGAGAGTTTCTTCACAATGTGGATGAGGCACTTTAAACGGGGCTGCAGGGTGTGGGGACAATGGTCAGGAGCCCTCCATGTGAGCACCCTCCTTCACCCCTGTGTCTCCCACTTGGACCACCCCCAAGTGTCCCACACCTGGCCCAGCACAGCAGGCTGCCTGGGGCTCTTGCTCCCTGCTCTCAATGTCCCCTCAGCCCAGCATAGAGGGCTGCCTGAGCCTACCCTGTTTCCTGTGTCCCCCACCCAGTGCAGCACAGTGGGCTGCCCAAAGCCCATCCTTCCCACTCCTCATGTCCCCCCCAAGCCCAGCACAGTGGGCTGCCAAGGTCCATGCTGCCTGCTCCCAGTGTCACCCTCAACCCAGCACAGTGGGCCACCGCCTGAGGCCCACTGTCCCCACAACTCATGTGCCCCCAGCCCAGCACAGGGACCCACCTGAGGCACCCTCCCTGCTCCTCGAGTCCCCCCAATCGAGCACAGGGTGCTGCCCGAAGCCTACCATCCCTGCTCTTTGTATCCCCCCCAGCCCAGCACAGGGCTACCCGAGGCCCACCTTCCCTGCTCCTCTTGTCCCCCCAGCCCAGCACAGAGCCCTCCTGACCCACCCTCCCTGCTCCTCTTGTCCCCCAAGCCCAGCACAGGGCTCTCCTGACCCACCCTCTTGGCCGGTGAGGCTGTGCTCCGTAGCGAGTCCAGCAGGGTCTTCTTCAGGTCGTCTAGGTGATTCTGCACGAAGCAGGCACACGGGCCCTGGGGGCTGGCACACACCTCCTCTAGCACACGGTAGGCCTTCTTCTGCACCCCATGTGCCTTACTCTAGGAGGGAGCACAGTGGTCAGGGGCAGGCGATAAGGGACGGGGTTCAAACTATCCTCCTGACCCTACTGAGTAACTCTTAGAGAAATACTCAAGGAGTATCCACTGTATGTACACATCAGCCCTGATGGGAGTAGAAGACACTGGCCTGGTCCTTCCAGAGCTCCTAGGTCAGAGGCCAGCAGAACATGGACAGGGGAGACTTAACTCCCATGCTGGCCACTGTGGACAATGCAGCGAGTATGCCCACCGTGCTCTCCAATCCCCAAGCTCACCCACCTCCAAAGAGCACACACCTAGCAGCATGAACGCTCTGGGCCTAGCGTGTATAGGCCTGTATCTGCTCATCTTTTGAGCTGGGACACTCTCCACGCTCCTCCTTTACCTAACTTTTGTTTCAGCAGTGCTGTTATCCTCAGTGGTCCCTGCCCTGGCCCTGTGCGCCTGCCTGGGTAGTCCCCTGAGGGCACTTTTCAAACTTCACACTGAAGGGCACGGGCCCAGCAAGTGGAAAGGTACAGAGGGGACTGCGGCATCTGGGAGTCTTAGAAGTAGTTTCATTAGACAGAAATGGTGAGGGAGATGAAGACAGGAAAGGATGAAACTTGGGCCAGTTCAACAGGCCTAATTAGAGAGTTCAGCAAAGGAGCCTGCCTTGGTTCTCTGCGAGGTTCATTAGCAGAGAAGGCCCGAGCTGAGGTGTGCAGTCACTGTAGTAGTCACATCAGACGGGCCAGAGAGCGCACACCAGGAGAAAGCAGACAAGGGCTTGGTTTGAGGCAGCCGCGGAGGCTGAAAACAGGAAGGCGGGCCCCACCCTCCCAGAAAGCCCCATCCTTCCTCAGATGATGAGGGGACTCTGGATCCCCAACTCACCTCGAGGTAGGGCCGGATGGTGGTGTACAGCTTGCTGATTGCAGCTTCGTCGGCATGAGGAGCCAGGGCCACAATCAGGTCCAGGACAGACAGTCTGCTCGGGGGCAGGCATTAAGGAGGGCATTATATGGGGCTCGAGAAGGGCACAGACTATCAAGGGTTTCTACAGATTTCTGGGTACCAGGGTGGTTGAAGTCAGGGTGAGGAGGACAAGAGACTCCTAAGGAGTTAGTGAACGATAATCCCAGCTGGTACCCAAGTGAGCACTCACATGTACCAGGCCCTATTCAAAGAGTCTGTTGACACCTTTAAGTCTCACAGCCACACAATGAGGCAGGTACTATTCTTGTGCCCATTTTACAGATGAAGTTAAAGAGGCAGAATGGGAAAGCAACTTGTCCCAGGCCACACAGCCAATAAGTTGTGGCACTTGGATTTGAACCTGGGCACCTGCCTCTACAGTGACCTGATTCTTTCCCCAGAAAACCCACAGGACAAAGGAAGTAGTCAGGCCTCGCTGGTGGAGCAAGGACAAGTAGTATCTTACGACATCCCTTAATAATTCCAGAAAGAAACCCCAGAGCTTTGGCCGGGCACACCTCCAGTCCCGTGGGCCACCCCAGTTGACGTGGGAAAGCGCTGCGCACATTACCTGGTGAAGTCAGAGCTGGCAGGGTCGAGCACCTTCTCACTGGCTTTTTCCATGAAACCATTCACCAACTGGTAGCCCCAGGGGGTAAGAAGGAAGGGGAAGAAAGATCATAGAGCCATGATGCCCTTCTCTGCCACTGACATCCCAAAGCCTCAAGCCCCGACTGACCCCCGACCACTGGTATCTGGTCCCTTATTCTCAGCACAAGACAATCTAAGTGAGCCCCAGTGGATGAGGTCTTAGCTATTCCAACTCCCTCTACCAGCACTTGCTCATCTGCAAGTATCCACCAGCTCACCTGAGGCTCAGTTATGGTGAGGTAAGTTTTGATTGTTTCCAGCACAGCTCGGTGAGGGGTTGGGGTGTCCCCACTGGCAACAGGCTGCCCATACAGGTTGAATAAAATTGGCAGGAAGTTCTTGGCAAAGCGGCTCACTTCGGCACGGTCGGCCTCTGGCAGGAAGATCAGAGTCAGCATGAAAGAGCCAGGTGTTGCCTGCCCTTAAAGGCCACTGGGCTGCAGGTTCTTCCAGGGGACCCTGTGGCAGGACTGGGAAGCTGTGGGTTGAACTTCCCCAGTGAAGGAGTACGCTACGGAGACCAGGTCTATGATCTTCTAGGACTCCTGTCCTGGGGCCAGCATGGTGCCAGCCATACAATCAACCTCTTTGCCGATTAAATCCACTGCAACTGTCAGCACCCTGGGAGCAATGAGGGCTGGGCAGTTCCCAGCCCTACTAATTCCCCAGATCCGCACAAAGGATGCAGGAGCTCAAGAGGCTACTTCCTCTGGATACAGGGAACTGAGTGCCAAAGCAGGCCAGGTGTGGGCAGGGGCACTTGTGTTACCTGACTACTCACCCACAAACCCTCACATACCTGCCTCACAGCCCTTGGTGATGAGCGTGCGCAGGGCCTGGCACACGGTGACTCTGAGGTCTGGGCGCTCGCTGATGGCTGTGCCGAGCGTCCGTGCCAGCCCTTTGAAGGAGGCAGCCACGTCCGTGGGCCTTGTGCAAAACCCAGGCAGGAGGGTCCATATCTGAGGAGGAAGGTGGCTGTTAAGGAGGAGGGTCCCTTGGTCTTCCCACTCCATCTCCTAGGCTGTCCCCACTCCGGCTCCTTACCTGCCACTGGAGTGTGTCGTAGATCTTGGACTCCACTGTGCTGCCCGCCTGGGCCAGTGCCATTGCTGCGGGGAGAGACAAGGACACTGTGTGACCCAGGTACCCTCTAGGCCAGTGGTGTCATTTTTACCAAAACCAAAAGCCTAGAGATGAGGCATTATCAGTAATTTTCTTGTCCCATAAATTAAAACATAATACTTGTCCAATATAAGAAACTAAACTAGACCATCATCAAACAAAATTGACACAGCAATTGTTGCAATGGGCTCAACAGGGTCAGAGACTGTGAGATGGCACAGGACACGACCAGGATTCAGGTCAGTTGTTTATATGGTCGCTATGAATTGTACTTGACTCAACGGCTCCTAACAACAAAATCAAGAAGGAAGTCAAAGTCTCCAACAGGGATAGTGACTGAGCTCTAACTTGCTTACATGTCTCTAAACACATTTACACTTTTGAAACATGAACACAACTGTACAATATATACAGTTTTCTAGAATTGTATTTTACTTACCAATAAGTAAATTGGTAACATTTACTGAGCACTTTCTACGAGCCAGGTTATGTAAGATACACTGTCTTCGCATTACTTCATTTAATACTTAGAATACTGACATTTTCATCCTTATTTTGTAGGTGAGCAAAGCTCGAAAAGTTAACTTATCCATAATGACTACCACATCACGGCGTGGCTGAGCTGAGATCTGCATCCAGTCAGTTCAACCATCTACTGCACAGTAGATCCATACCCCGCTATACTCTTTCATTATGGTGACTACATCAAATCCCACAGTGGGGCTTTATCTTAATTAACTCAACTGGAACCTGCTAAAAGGTATCCGGTAGGCTGTCTCAGAACATCTGCTAGTATAAACTTGTCAGTAGCTGACTGTACTGGCAGAGACAGGAACCTGCATGCTTGTTCATTTCCTCTGGCCAGAAATCTACATGCAGTATTACTGCAAAGGCCAAGTACATGCACAACCTTGATAAGAAAATTCACAGCCGTAAAGGTAACATGCCAACAACCCACTTTGGTGGCTTAAATGTATTTTCTTTGATGGGCAGACACATGCTTCTTTTGTAACAAAAAAAAAAAATTATAAATACCAGAAAAAAAGTTTACTAGTACATAAAGTTACTAACATATAGAGCACAATTTAAATTTGGCAAAATTACAAGACTATTTTTACATATGGGAAAGAAATACACTAAAAATTACAGTAAAAATGATTTCTGGCTATAGAGAGAGTGAGTGATTTTTACTTACATTCTTCCTATGTATTCGACAAATAGATGCATATTCTACAAAATAATGTTTGAGAGGAGAACAGCATTATTGTCACTTTGGACTGGCTGGCAGTGGGGAGTGCTGTTCTGTGCAGCAGACTATTTTTAGTAGGGTTCCTGGAGACAAGCCACTAGAGGTCACCAGCTTTCTCCCTGAAATGTGACCACCACAAATATCTCCAGATGTTGCCAAATGTTCCCTATGGGACAAAGTCACCTCCTTGTCAAGAATCATCGCCCTGGACCAAGTGATGACAAACTTTCTGCTAAGGGTCTACGTTTTAGGCTTTGTAGTTCATGTGGTTTGTTTCAAATGTTCACTTCTGCCACTGTGGGGTAAAGTAGCCACAGATAATATGTAAAATAAAAGAGATGCACTGCAATATAAAATGTATTTATGAAAACAAACCCAAAAACTTTATTTACAAAAACAAGCAGCAGGGAGGAGATGGCCCGTAAGTCATTGTTTCCCACCTCCTCAGCTAGACCATCGCTAATGAACAAAAACAAGAAATCCAGGAGCCATCGTCAGCCAAGAGGTACCCAGGCCCTCTGCGTTCCCATTAAGTGAGCCTGAGCCCCCTCACACAGGGCAAAGGAAACGTGAGGTGCAGAGGGAAGACTGAGAACTCAAGGGCAAAAAAATGCACCACAAAACGAGCCAGGGATCCAGGGAAACAGCCTAAAGAAGGGATAGCTCAGAGAGGACAGTACCATTTCTAGAAGCATAAGAGTCTGATTATAAGGGAGCTCTGGTAGCCTCGTGGCAAGAAGCTGCACTGCAATCCCAGAGGTATGTGATTCAAATCCACCAGATGCTCTGTTGGAGACGGAGAGACAATCTCTTCCTGTATCAGTTAGATCTGATTTGAAGGTATATACACACACACACATACACTTAAAAAAAGTCTGATTATATTTTTTTAAACCCACATATGCAGGTGCACATATGTATCACATATATATGTTGTTGTTACGTGCTGTTGAGTATGACCCATAACCCTGTCCTATCTTGTGCCACTCTCATACCTCCTGAGACACTAGAGCCCACTGCTGTAGTCACTGTGTCAATCCACCTGGTTAAGGGACTTCCTCTCTTTCACCGACCTTTCCAGGCATGACATCCCTCTCCAAGGAATAGCCCCTCCTACGACATGCTCGAAGTATGTGAGATGAAGCTTTATCATCTTTGTCTCCTCCAAGGAGCACTCTGGCTGCACCCTCTCCAAGACTTATATATTTGTTCTTCTGGCAGTTCGTGGGATGTTCAATACTCTTCCCCAGCACCACAACTCAAAGGCATCAATCTTTCTTCTGTCATCCTTATTCACTATCCAGCTCTGACACACAGCAAGTGATTAGAAAGACCATGGTCTGAATATGACACACCATAGTCCTCAAAATGAAATCATTGCTCCTTAATAATCTGGAGAGGCTCCAGACTGCAGACTTTTTCAGTGCAGTCTGCTTCTGATTTGCTGACTGCTAGTTGAGCTGTTGATAATGGATCCAAGTAGATGGAAGTTGCTGAAAGTTTCAATCTTTCAGTATTTTCTCCATCTATCATGACGTTTCCTACAGTTCCAGCGGTAAGAATTTCTGTTTACTGACACTGAGATATAATCTATGTTGAAGACTGTATTCTGTGATCTTCTGCAACAAGTGCTTCAAGTCCTCCTCACTTTCAGCAAACGTGTCATCTCCAGGACGCAGGTTATTGACACGTCTTCCTCTAAACTTGATGCCACATTCTTCATCACAGAGTCCAGCTTCTTGAATAATTTGGTCAGCATATAGAATGAAGAGGTATGAAGAGAGAATGCAACCCTGATGCAGTTCCTTAATTTTAAACCTTGCTCAGTTTACACACCCGCCTCTTGGTCTAGATATAGGATTTGCATCAATACAATTAAGTGCTCTAGGTCTCCCATTCTTCTCAATGTTAGCCATAATTTATATATAAATAGACAGACATACAAACAGGTTAGAAAACAGACCTCAAGAGCTCTCACAGGGAAGAAGGGGCCGACTTGATCTTTGTGATCCATCAAGGAAAAACAAGGCCCCGGGTTGGAAGCCGCATGTCCAAGTGGGGAAAGGGTTTGTATCAGGTTTGGGGGGTGAAGCTCTGATACGAGCTTTCACATCCTGTTTGTCAACTGCTAGCAGAGGATGATGCTGCCGAACGCTCTGCAGGTTTGAGGGAGCTGGGCTAAGACTCCCCTCAGCTGAGGTGTCAGGACTGTGATGCACCTTAGGCCACAGGAGAAGCCCTTACCTTTGCTCTTCAGGGTGTTAGCCAGGGGCAAGAAGTAGGTGGTGAAGAAACCAAGGCGAGTTTCTCGGACATGGTCCCTGATGACAGGCAGCAGCCAGCTCCGTGGGAAATCCAGAGTTTCTCTGGAAGGAGGGTGAGAGGGGCCAGTGAAGCCTGGGTGACAAGACAGCCTGGGGGCAGCATTTCCACTGAGCGAAGAAGCAGCTCCCACTGACCCTGCCTGCTGTCTGCCCCTCCAAGGGCTCTTAAGGAAGGCGATCAGAGCCACACTTACTCAGAGCCATCAATTTCCAAAGGCACAGCCTGCAGCACCACCTCAGGTCCCATGCTGGTCACTGCAGCTCCAACTGCTTGGTCCAGCGAGGCCGTGTGTGGGAAGTGGGGGGACAGGCGCAGGTCACACAGGGACTGGAGGCACTGGAGCACAAAGGGAGTCACACATTAGGGCCAATGCCTCAGCAGGGAGTGGTCTTTAAAAGGATGAGGTATAGATCATGGGCCAAGTGAATGTCAAACCAGTCACAAACTGAAGCCAGATTCAGCCCACTGATGCTTTGCTTTGCTTTGGAAGGGAGGAAGTTACTATTATTTAAGTGGAAGTTTACAAAGCTAGCTGGTTTTCCACTCACGCAGGTGAGGAGGTAGGGTATAGATGTAATGAGACATGTCCTCACCCGACAAGCCAATGGTTAAGGGACCCAGATCCCAGACACAGTCCAAGCACCACACTGTCCCCTTGTCCCACAGCGTCTTCCTCACCTTTTTCATCACAGGATGGGCCTGCCGCCCACATGTCTCAAAGAAAATACACAGGAGCTGCAATACGGAGTTCCATGCGGCATGGAATTTGTAGGTCAGGCCTTCTTCTGCTGCCCTGTAAAAGAGCAGGCAGTCAGGGCCTTGTTCATGCCCACCAAAGGCCCCAGCCAGGACAAGGTGGTGGCTGGCACCATGAGAGACAGATCAATGGTTTGGCCACTGAGGACGGGGCCCCAGGAAAGGCATGGGGGTGGGGAGAGCTAACATTCATGAATGGTTCACACGCTCCAGACATTCTGCTAAGTGTTTACATAATCCTTATCAGTAAAAAAAAGTCAGGTGGATTGTTTAGCTTCAGATGGGGAAACCGAAGTTCAGAGAGCTTAAGTAACTTGTCAGGGTTGTCAGGGTCATTCTGTTAGTGGCCAAAGTAGGGCTCCAAGGCCCAAGTGCCCACAGTACCCTGTTCTCTCAGTGTGCCCGAAGCAGGACGGGAGGAGACACAGGGGAAAGGAGCTTCAGTCAGGCTGGCCAGCCTCCTGCCCTTCCAGTCCATGCCCTCCCTGGTCAACTTCATCCTCCAAAGATGCTGTGTTGCTGGAGGTCTGGGGTTTAGTCTGGGTGAACAGGCGCAGCTAGGAGGCTGTAATTCTTACCCTAAATTTTTCTGAACCTTCTTCCCAGGTGTCGCCCCAGGCCTATTTCCTCTAAGGCATGGTAATTAAGGCATCGTACATTGGAAATGAGCACAGACTCAGATCCCAAAGTGACAACAGGGATCCCAGCCCCCATCTAGAACACTGGGATCTGCCTGTGCCGAGGTCCCACCCCATCATGCTGGGAGGGTGAGAGTGGGTGGTGGCTGCTCCTGTGAATGTGCTCTCCCAGGTGTGGGAGGCAGCATGGCACAGTCAATGGGAAGCCACTCCGTGGTCAGCCTGCCACTTGCTCACTGGGGAGCCTGTGCTTCCTCATCTGTAAAATGGGGTAAGTACCCATCTCCTAAGAATGGTTACACACTTGACTGCAAACTCAAAGGTCAGTGATTCAAACCTACACAGCTCTACTAAAGAAAATCCTTGGTGACCTACTCCAGGAGAACACAGCCAAGGAAGCCATACTGAACAGGCGTGTCACTGTCACATAGGGAGTCAGCTCGATGGCACATAACTGCCACCTAACTTTTAGAATCTTAAGGATTTTGGAAAGCAGAGGTTATAGAAACAGCTTGCATTAATTCAGTGTTTAATTATGTACCAGGTGGTGTTCTGAGAAGAGGACAAGCATCATGTAATCCTCACAGTCCGCAGACAGGCTGCGGAAGACACTGAGGCTTATAGAGACAGCAGAGCTTGCCCCCGCTGACCGGCCTTGCAGTCAGCAGCAGCTGCTCCAGCGTCCACCCTCGAAGCCTCGCACTGTGCTGAATGGGAGCCTGGGATGTGGTGGCTGCCCTGGTGGAGGCTCAGTAAACACAACCCAAAACTCAACAGCACACCTGCATTCTGCATGTGCCCCACCAAGAGGGACGCACAGGGCACTGGCTGGCATGACGGCTTTCTACAAGCACACCGCATGCCCCCCACACCACATGCCCCACTAAAACACCGAAGCCGCGTTCGTTCTCACCTGAACATCCTGGCAACATACTGCGCAGGCCCTGTGGCTGAAGAGGTCACAGAGCCGATGTCAGCCATGCAGGGAGCCACGCATTCCTTCAGGATCTCCTGCAGAAAGAAGCCACAAGCTGTCTGGACCCCCAGAGCCACTCAGCCCTCCCAACTTCCTGAAGCTTCCCGGAAGCCCATTTCCCAGCCTGAGAGCATGTTTGCAGGATGTGACTCTGGAAAACAGAGGGCAGTGGGGACTCTCTTGCACTCTGCACCCTCAGTTAACACTGGGCGGGGGGCTGGAAAGTGCCAGTACCTTGAGGCTCTGGGTGGCCGCAGCCACCACTTGCAAGTGAGGGGAAAGGAGGCAGGTCATCGCAGTTCCAAAAAAGCGAGGCAGGTGGCCCAGCCCCAGGTCTCGATGCAACCTGCCAAGACAAAACAGGTTTTGTGTATTGAGGCCCTGGGCCTGGCGATCTTGGGGCCTGGGCATGCGGTCTGTGCAAAGTGTTTGCTCTTCAGATGGCCCAAGGCCCACAACAATCACTATTCCACATGGATCTATAAGTAACAGAACTGTTGTGCCAACAGTAATAACTCATGGGGGAAATTCAAACTGGTTGTAGGAGTACAAAACGAAGAGCACATTTTCCTCAACGGCCCGCTGACCCTCAGACCCACTTCCCAGCAGAAACCAAGGTTAAGTTTCTCAAATAGCCTTTCAGAAGTTTATATGCACAAACATAAAACACATTTATATAATACTCACTACATGCCACATACTGATATAACTGCTTACTTCATTAAAACCTTCCTTTCTCACCTCCCTACCTCCTGAAATGGGCTACCCTCATGAGAATGTTTCTCTTGCTCAATAAACTTTCCTGTTTTTAACTTTAAAAAAACAAACCCCAAAACAAAAACCTTACACCAACCAAGAGGTTAAGTCTTGTTCCATCTCATCATCAAGAAGACAAAACACCACTAGACCAACAGACAACATCATGAAAGATACAGAAAAGGCTGGTGTTGTCAATGATTTCATCTTACTTGGATGCACCAAAAGTCAAGGAATCAAAAGACAGTACACTGCCCTGTGTAAATTTACTGACAAGGACCTCCCCAAGGTATGAAGGAGCAATGATGTCAATTTAAAGACTGAGGTGCACTGCATGTAAGCCATGGTCTTTTCAATTACTTGCTAGGCATCTGAAAGTTGAACAATGACTACAGATGACAGAAGCATTGATGCCTTTAGATGGTGGTGTTAGAGTAGAGTACTCACTATCCCATAGACTGAGAAAAAGAACAAATGTCTTGGATAAAGTGCAGCCAGGGTGCTCCTTGGAGGCAAGGATGGTAAAAATTCATCTCACATATTTTGGGCTTATAGTCAGGAGGGGCTAGTTCTTGGAAAGGGACATTTTACTGGGAAAGGTGGAGGAGTCAGTGCAGAGAGGAAGATCCTCAGATGGCCTGACACAGTGACTGTAACAGCAGGCTCAAGGGTATCCGAGACGAGGATGATGCAGCAGCGGGCTGCTGTTCACAGTGTCGCTCTGAGCCGCAGTCAGCTTGATGGCAATGACCAACAACATGACCACCTCGCTTTGGAGACAAGGCAACAGGCACAGAGAGGTGAAGTAACGTTCCCAAAGCCGTGAGTGGTGGGGTTAAGATCACATGCTGGCAGTGTGGCTCCTGAGGGTCCCCACATTCCCCCTCTCCTTGCTGCTCTGGACCCTGCTTTCATTACATCTCGGAGCTCTTTCTATGCAGCATGCGCACACCCACATTAAATTCTTCCCCACTGGAAGGACCATTATTTACTGAACCAATCCCCTCCTGAGAGGCTCCTCCCAGGAACAGTTCAGCCCAACGCATGGAGATTGTTTTTCATTTTTTGCCACTGCCCACAGTGCTGCAGCAACCACCCTGTGCACAGAATGACGATGCTGTGGAAGCGTGCCTACAGGATGAACCCAAGCAGTGGAGGACGAGGCCATTTGCCATTTTCTGACTTCCTCAAGTGAAAGGTAACCTGGAGCAGGAAGGCAAACACGGGCTTCATTACAGCTGGAGACGCGGCTGTGCTGAGCGCCTGCAAAACTAGTGAACTCACAACGCCTCCGCTGCTCCTTTAGAAAGTTAAGTGAAGACCTTCTTTAGGAGCCCTGACTCTACAATAGTTAAGCACTCTGAAAGCTAACTGAAAATTTAGTGGTTTGAACCCACGCAGCAACTCTGAGGGATAAAGGTCTGGTGATGTGTTTCCGTAAAGACTGTTGTTATTATGTGCCGTCGAGTCGTTTGCGACTCATAGCGACCCTATGCACAACAGCCCTAAACTCTGCTCTATCCTGTGCCAATCTCATTGCCTCTGACACACCCATCCCGATTACCCCCAGTCACTGAATCAATCCACCTCATAGAGGGCCTTCCCCTCCTGCGCTGTCCCTCTACTCTACCCAGCATGATGTCCCTCTCCAAAGACCTGTCTCTCCTTACAACATGTCCAAAGTACGTCAGGCGAAGCCCCAGAATCCTTGCCTCCAAGGAGCAGCCTGGTTTAACCCTCTCTACAGTGAATCTGTCTGTTTTCTTGGCAGTCCATGGTTACAGCTTTAAAAAAAACCTTATAGAACCAATTTAAAAATAAACTCACACAAAGGGCAGTACTATTCTGTCAGAATGGGGTCACTATAGTTAAAATCAACATGAGAGCATTTAACAATCTCTTAACATTGTGCCTGATTCAAGAGGCTGGTAAGTCCTCTTCAGCTGAGGAGGAAAGAGTCATGGAGTCAGAACTTCAAGACCCTTCTTTCAGGCAAACACTCAAGTAGATAAGCAAGGAATGCTGGCTAAAATGGGAAGCACTGCCTGACCCCCCACGTCTATTTATAAAAACAACAGCTGGTGGTCACCACACATGGCCTGGAAACACTGCCTGCCCCCAGGATGGTGAATGACCTTTCCCACAGCAGAGTGGCACCCTTGGATGTGCCCCTCCACCATGGTACCTACCTGACCAGGTTGATGTGGGCTTTCTCCATGACCTTAAGCCAGGCCAGCAGGGGCTGCAAGTCATTCTCACTGGGGACATAATCGTACAAGGCCTGGAGGCAGGAACAGAGTACAAGTGGTGACTCAGCGAGTGCTTTCAGCAGCAGCCCTGGTGACAATGAGCCCGTCTCCTTTCCAGGCCCCAGCACATGTCCGCGTATTTCATGGCTTTCCCAGGTCCTGCCCTGTGAAGCCCTCCTTGGTTCCGATTCTAACTAGAAGAAAGCCTCCAGGAGCAGCAGAGGCTCTGTGGGGGTCGCATACCCATTTGTGAACCTAACAGGAGCCAAGGAACCCTTCTAACAAGAGCCTGAGTGCAAACACACATTTTCCAAATTACTTCAGAGAGTTTACATCCCCTTTCTTAAGTCCATCTGTGGATCTCTAAGGTTAAGAGGCCTGGGTTCAAGCTATCTGTTCATACTACAAGATCCTGTACAAACTGTTTATATTCCTGTACAAATTATTTATATTAACTACCACTAAGTTGAAAAAAAAAAGAATAGACACTTATCCACTCAAGAGTCAGGACCCCCAACCATTGTGGGTACAGACCTTTAGTCACACAGACTCTTGGGCCACTGTGTGTACTAACCCCCGGTCACTGTAATGACTTCCAGTCACTGTGAACAATGACCCCTGCCACTATGTGCACTGACCCTCAGTTACTGTGGGCACAGACCCCAAGTCACTGTGGACACTGACCCTCTCCAGTCACTGTGGGCACAGAGCCCTGGCCCTGTGTGCACTGACCCTGGCCACTGTGTAGGTTGACTCCTGGTCACTGTGGGCACCGACTCCCAGTCAGTGTGTGTATTGAGCCTGGGTCACCGAGGGAACTGAGCCCCCCACAGTTATTACACAGTGACTGACTGATGACTGGGGTTGGTCTCCTTCCTGTCTTCTGGTTCTTCTCCAATGGACAAACCACTGTGGCTTCCCTGTGCAGTCAACTAACAAGGCTAATCTCCCCAGTAGAGCAGGACCCCGAGTCGCCCACTGCCAGGCCTCACCGTGATGATCTGGGCGTTGAGCTCTGCCGTCAAGGTGCCCGGGCCAGGCTTGGCATGGAAGAGGCTGTGAAAGGCCTGCATGGCACATGCTGTGACCAGCTGAAACGGACACAAGGTTTAGTAGAGAATCCCAAGACCCACGGGCCCCACACCTGAGCATTCAGAAAGATAAGGAAACTGCTGAGAAAATTCTAAATGTTTCAAACAAAGCCATGGGAGAAACAGGAACAAAGTTTCTAACAGGATAGTGAGCCAGAAACAGCTGGTAAGTAGGGAGTGCCGGTGGCCTGGTCGGTGGCTGCTCTGCTAACAAAAAGGCGAAGCCTCTCTGGAGGTTTGAATCCACCAGCAGCTCTAGAGGATGAAGGTGAGTAATCTCCTCCCATGTGATTTACAACATCAGAAACCTGCTAAAGCATCAGCTATCAGTTAATACTCAACAGTAAAGAGTCAGTGTGCCATAACTGCATGTTTGTTTATCCAAACTGAAAAGGGTGGGCAAGTTCAAAGGTACTGTTTACCTTGGAAACTGGGTGGGGAGAGGATGATGTTATTTTTTACTTTAGGCACTTCTGAGTGATTTTATTTCTTCTAAACAATGATTGCTGCTGTTGTGTACCATCTCTGGCAGGTTTTGAAAGGCTGTTAATTACCCATCCTTCTCTCACAGCGTAGCTGCGTGCCTTGCCTTCTGGACTGTAGCAAAGCTTTTTACCACTAGGCCACCAGAGCTGCCTCTAAACAATGAAGTATTATTTACATAATAAAAAGCTTTAAATTATATACACAAATGAAAATTACAAGACTATATACTATGGAGCTCTGGTGGCCTAGTGGCAAGAAGCTGCACTGCAATCCCAGAGGCACAAGGTTCAAATCCACCAGATGCTCTGCTGGAGAAAGAGGGACAATCTCCTCCTGTACCAGTCGGATCCGATTTGACGTTATACACACACAAAAAAATGAATTAAAAAAAGACTATATACTTAAAAAACAAACAAACTACACACTAACAAAACTGTTGTGACTGTCAGGTGTCACTGAGTCACTTCTGTCTTAGCAACTTTAAGAGATGGAGTCGCTGAGCACAGTATTTCCCAGCCTGTAACTTTTACAGAAGAGCTGTCAGGCCTTTGCCTGTGGAGCCAATGGGTGGGCTCAAAGTGTCAGTCAGCACCTGGGCATTTAGCCATCATGCCACCAGGACTCTTCAAGATTATGACGGGTGGTAGAAAATCAAGAAATTGTTTTAATTATCTTTAAGGCTATTCTACTGATAGTTTCGTTAGTTAAAAAAAAAATAAAGGCATGAAGAGCTGGAGCTGAGCTCACGGGCAGGAGGAGAAAGCGGAGATCTCAGTCCCACAGCCTTTCTCTGATTCAATCTCTGAGGCAATTTTCAACTATAACACAAACCCTACGAATGGACCACTCTGCCCAGCACCTAAGATGATATGTCCTGAGAAGCAGCAGAAAAGCAGGGTGGGGCAGGAGGGCTTCGGGCCTTTCTCGGCCTGACCTGAAAGTACCCAAGCACCCAAACTGCAGGCCTGGGCTCTGGGGGGGACCCCTGACCCTCCCTCATCACTGTGGCCCCATCTGACTTTCAGCCCAGAGCTCACCACATGGCTCAAGGTCATGACCCTGAGAAGAGTCTCACTGCAGCCCTTGACCTGGGCTTCTGGGAAGCTGGGCAGCAGGTCCTTCAGCAGCGTTAGCATGTGCAGCGTGGTGGTGGCCTCCTTGGAGCCTGGCAGCCAGAAAGACAATGGAATTCCAGCTCACTCTGTGGCAGGTATCATCTTCCCAGCTGCCCCCCAACCACTGCCTCTCATCTCCCGGTCCTCAACCTGCCTTCCCTACCTACCTCCGGACTTCTCAATCTGCTGGATGCAGAACTTGGCAGTGGAAACAGCAGCAGGATGGTGAGCAGGGGCCTTTTCACCAAACATGAACTCACTGCCCTTGAGGACTGAGCACACTCCATGCTGGGCAGCCTTCCGGATCTGAGGGGCAGGGAAAAAGTAGTATCCAGTGTCAACCAACGTGCATAATAAGCATTAATCAAACAACTACTATCCCTCCAATGCTCTGCCAGCGGTCCATGCGTATAGAATCCTGACCTGAAGAACAGGACAGACCTCGCTTTACACCCCTGCTCTGCTCCTAACCCACTAACGGACCTTGAGCAAGGTAAACCTGCTCTCTGGGTCTCAATAGTCTTGTCTTTATTTCATTTTTTTATTGTGGTTTAAGTGAAAGTTTACAAAGCAAATAATTTTTCATTCAACCATTCATATATTTTGTTCTGTAACATTAAATTTCGTATCCACAATGTAACCACATATTTCCCATTTCCTCCCTGTAATTCTCATTTCCATTAATCTTTTACCTTTCTCTGCATTCTCTTCCTTTAGTGATACTGTGCAGGTCATATCCTTACTGGATATTGCTTTTCCCTTCACTTAATTTAATACGTCTATTATCCGTTTACTGTTACTCTAGATTATGGGCCCAGTACTTTACTTAGATGCATAATCAATTCTTATGACAGCAACAGTTAAGAATCAAAAGATGTGGGGAGCTCTGGTGGCCTAGTCGCAAGAAGCTGCACTGCAATCCCAGACGGTTCAAATCCACCAGATGCTCTGCCGGAGAAGGAGGAGCAAGATCCTCCTGTACCAGTCAGATCTGATTTGATGGTACACACACACAAAATAATAAAAATTTTAAAAAATAAAATAAAAAGATAAAGCTTTTTTTAAAAAAAAACAACAACCAGAATCAAAAGACGTGAGGAAGGGTAAAGGAAACGGGAATGATCTGGCAGGGATCAGGAAAGACAGGGTAATGATGGGCATAGTTCAAAGGTGATTAATTTTATAAAACATAAGGAATGGGAATGATTGTATAAAACACAATGTTGAATATAGTGTGAAACACAATGTATACAAACTTTGCGTGAAAACCAATATAAAATAAAAATAATAATAATAAAAAAAGAATCAAGACACTGAATTGGGGAAAATTACTGTCAAAGACTTCTCCAAAGTTCTAAAGAGCAAGGACATCAGTTTAAAGACTAAGGTGCACCTGATCCAAGTTATGGTGTATTCAATTACTTGTTATGCATCTGAAAGTTGGAAAAAGAATAAGGACAACCAAAGAATAACTGAAGCCTTTAAAATGTGGTATTGGTAAAGAATACTTGATATCTCGTGGACTACTCAAAGAACAAAACAATCTCTGTTGGAGAAGTATAACTGGAGTGCTCAATAGAGGTAAGGATGGTGAAACTTGGTCTCACATACTTTGGGCATGTTGTCAGGAAGGGCCAGACCCTGGAAAAAGACAATATGCTGGGAAAGGTAGGGAGTAATTTAAAGGGAGGAAGACCTCCAAGAGATGGACTTGCACAGTGACTAATTGGTTTGAGCATGACAGAGATCGGAGGGACGGCACAGGACAGGGCAAGGTCCAGATCTGTTGTTCACAGGATCATCTGAGTCACAGTTGACTATCTGGCAGCTAACAACAACAATATTTACTCTTTTCTCCCTTCTGTCCCATACCTGATAACCATTCAAGAATAATTCTAACTGCATGTCAACTTTTCCTTAATAACAGTGACCTTATACAGTATTTGTCCTTTGGTGAATGATGCCCTTGACATAATGCCGGATCCTTATTTATAAAAGAAGCTCTCATCACTACGACGAGCCCACATCAGCACTGCTGACAGAACCAACCAGAGGGGTGGCTGTGAGCCCTCTACCATTCCCTGGGGTCCAGCAGTCTCACCTTGGGCTTGGCATGCACAGTGAAGCTCAGCAGACCATGGTACACCTGAAGGGTCACAGAGTAGCTCCAGGCCTCCAGGTTTTGCTTCCGCAGAAGAGTGGCCAGGCAGGAGAGGATCTTGAGGAACAAAGACAGTCAGCTCTTCCAATCCCAGCCAGTAAGAGAGACCAGCTCCTCACCAACTGCAGGGACTCTCAAAAGGATCAATCTGAAGGTCTACCTAAGTCCCTCCCAGGAAGCGTCCAAAGTTAAGCCAAATTCAACGGGCTCTGGAAGAAGAGAAATGGGGACTAGATACTAACCCATCGGAGGGCAGAGGTGGACCCACTGTTGGCCTGGGCTGACATGATGTCCATGAAGGCTTTGGAGGTGTCAGAGAACTTCCTAATAAGAACAGGGCTGGGCACGCTGTGGGGAGAGAACACAGAGGGTCAGCAGTCCAGGGGCCTCCGAGACGAGCCAGTACAGCCCTGTGAGGTCCACAGCAGGAGGCTAGCAATAGAGAAGTATTGCTGATCCAGTCACTCAGGGAGCAACAAAGACAGGACAAGAGCTCATCATCATGACACCGAGCTGGGTGTGCTTTCTACCACATCAGAGCTCCCCACGTCTCTCACTTTCTCCACTGCCCACTCCCTGCATCGTCCACTAGACTGCTCTGCCGAGCTCACACCAACCCTCAACCGTCTCTCCCCTGGTTACAAAGCTTGAGTCCTAGGAGCTCTGGTGGCCTAGTGGCAAGAAGCTGTACTGCAATCCCAGAGGTGTGAGGTTCAAATCCACCAGATGCTTTCCTGGAGAAGGAGGGACAAACTCCTCCTGTACCAGTTAGATCAGATTTGATGGTCCACACACACACACACAAATAAAAAATAAAATAATAATAATTTTTTTTTAAATAATAATAATTTAAAAAAAAAAAAAGCTTGAGTCCTATGCCAACGTTCCATGCCACACTCGGAACACCACGACCCTCTACCCAAGCCCCAGGCCATCACGTGCACACTCCAAGGTATGTCATCCCAAACTGTCCCTAGAGCCTGATGCTGCAGAAAGTCACCTAATACTGGAATATCTTTTAATGACCCTGATTCTGTTCCTCACCTCACCTCCATCCTCCCTATTCTTTCCTCCATGAAGAGACTTGGGGTTCAAAGAAGAATCAGGACTTACCGCTTCAGGACAAGGTTCAGAAGGTATGCTACAGCGGCCAGAGATTCCGGGGTCTCCACTGCTTCCACTGTTGTCATCTGAGTGCCAGAACAAAGGGGTGTAAGTGAGAAATGGATGCGGGTGGGCAATCGGGGTGAGGCAGGGAACTACATTCCCTGGTTTTGCCACTTCCACTTACTAGCTGTGTGACTTTGGCCTGGTAACTTCTGTACCTCAGTTTATAAGATAGATTAATACCATTATCTGTTAAAAGGGGTTAATATTGGTATCTAACTCTTAAGCTATTTTAAGATCTACTTGAACTAATATATACAAGGCATTTGGAACCTTTCCTCTTGTTGTTATGTGCCGTCAAGTCCCCTGAGACTCATAGCGACCCTGTGTACAACAGCTCTGAACCCCGCTCTATCCTGAGCGAATTTCATCATCTCTGACATACCTATCCCCATTTCCCCAGTCACTGAGTCAATCATCTTATCCAGGGTCTTTCTCTCTTGAGCTGTCCCTCCACTTTTCCAAAAATGATGTCCCTCTCCAAGGACTGGTCCCTCCTGGGCATGTGCCTAAAGTATGTGAGTCAGAGCTTCAGACTCCTAGCCTCCAAGGAGAAACTTGGTTTCATCCTCTCCAAGACAGATGTATTTGTTTTCTTGCAGTCCATGCTATGTTCAAGACTCTTCTCCGCCACTACAACTCAAAGGCATTGCTTTTTCTGTCATCCTTAGTCACTGTTCAGCTTTCTGATACACAGCAAGTTAACTGAGAAGACCATGGCCAGGATCAGGCGTACCTCTTTGATGCATAGTAATTGGGAAGACCAATAAACACTCTATAGTATAATCTAATTTATCTTATTATTCTAGGGCAGAGGTTGGCAAGCTTTTCCTACAGAGAACCTAATCATAAACACTTCAGGTTTTTAGGTCTCACACTACTATATTTAAAGGGAGCTCTGATGGCTAGGTGGTAAGAACTTGTGCTGCAATCTCAAAGGTACACAGTTCAAATCCACCAGCAGCTCCATGGGAGAAAGTTGGTCTATCTCCTCTGGTGTGACTGACTGCTTCTGAAAAGCTGCTGGAGGGTCAGCTATGAGTTGGTTCCAACAGTATTTGTTGTATCATTTTTCTTGGGTGCGTATGTACGTAAATAACCCCTTAAACATGTGAAAACTACGCTTAGCTCATGAGTTAGATCTGGCCCTCAGGCCAATCACTGTTTTAGAGCAGTTCTCAAACCTTTATATCCTTATAAATTACTGAGGATCCCCAAAGAAATTTTGTTTATGCAACTTATGTCTACTGGTATTTAATATATTGGACATTAAATTGAGAAAATTTAAAAACACAAGAATAACAAGCAGAATTTTGTAAGCATAACTTGTAGAAAACTCCCCTGTGTAAACATGAAAGTATCAGAGAAAAGTAAACAATGTTCTAGCGTATTACAAACGATTATGCCCTTGTAAACCCCTCACAAAAGAGAACCCCAGGGACTAATAAATAGAGCACGCCAAGAAACAACTTTTTTAGAAGGTCTTCCATTTATAGCTCCTTTTCACAGAACAAGAAAGAAGAGCAGTGGATTTCTGGGTTGCAAGAATCCTTTGGCAAATAACAACATGAGAATGACGATGGACCAAGATTGTCCCTCTACATTCTCATATGCGAGAAGCATCAGCAATTTCATCTTCTCTCTACAGCCTGTACAATGTGTCACTCTGGACCTGCCTCCCCACACAACACTCACCAGTGCAGCGAAGTACTCGGTCTCTGTTTCCTTCCCTCCCTGGGAGCGGATCACCTCAGTGACAGCAGCAAGGACAGCACAGATCTGCATGTAAGGGAGAAGGCACTTGTGATGGCTCCTGCATCTAAGCCCGCCCCACAGTAGGGTTTTCCCCCTTGCTTCTTCACAAATTAACCTGAGAACATGCAGACAGACATGATGAGCACCAACACAGGGCCTAGCAAACAGGAAGGCTTACAATAAATCTGCCCAAGTGTGTCACCTCTAAACGTCTGCCACTTATAGAAATACCTGCACCAAGGACAAAGATATTTATGCACAAGGTGGTTCACTGAAGGAAAAAAGATTCAAGTGGCCGTCAACAGGCGATTTATAAAGTGTTATTCCAAATCTTCAAACCCATTGCTATGGAGCCAAGCCTGAATCATTGCAGCCCTATATGATAGAGTAGAATTGCCTCACAGGTTTCCAAAGCTACAACTTTTTTAAACTTTTATGATTCGAGTTGAAGTTTACATAGCAAATTGGTTTTCCATTCAACAATTCATACACGTTATGGTTTGTGACACTCACTACACTGTAACAGCACTCCTCCTCCTTTGCCCTTATTTTCCACGTCCAGCATCTGTCATTCTTTCCTCTCCCTTCCTGCCTTCTGCACTCTAGTCTAGGGAAAAAATTGCTCTTTTGATCTTGTATTAGGGCTACAACCTTTATGGATGGGGGCTGTCACTTCTTTCTCCCAAGGAGCAGGCGATGGCTTTGAACTGTCAACCTTTCAGTTGTGCCAACAGGCTTCCTTAAAATATTATTCCAAACTAAATCCATTGCCTTCAGATGATTCTGACTCATAGAAACCCTCCATCAGGTCTCCAAGGCTGTAAACCTTTAGATGAGGAGACTGCCTATCTTTGTCCCTTGGGGCAGATGGTAGATTTGAGCTGCCAACTTTTCAATCAATAAGCAGCCCAGCATGTCATATGCAGTATACTACCACTGCCTCTTAAAAGTATTACTATGTAGGGGAGCTCTGGTGGCCTAGTGGCAAGGAGCTGCAACTACAATCCCAGAGACGAACGGTTCGAATCCACCAGATGTTCTGCCGAGTAAGGAGGGACAATTTCCTCCTGTACCAGTCAGATCTGATTTGACGGTACATGCACACAAAAATAATGAAGTAAAATTAAAAAAAAAAAAACACCACAACAAAAAACTTAAAAAAGAAAGTATTACTATCATAAATAATGACACATTCAAATACTATATAACATTAAAAAGGCATGAATAACAACATAGCAATCTTCTTCCCTAAGTGGTGGCGGCAATGATAGTGGTAGTTCGGAGCCACTGAGTCTCTGCATCAAGAATGACATAGCGACTGTATGAATGACAGATCTGAAGCCTATCCAGTCTTGTGTCAACTACACAATCTCTCCTCTCCAGCCCATTTTATTCCAGACCACCTTTGGACTTCCCTAGAGCTAATCTGGGAGCTCTGGTGGCCTAGTGGTAAGGAGCTGAACTGTTAACATGAAATCAGACCTTCTCTGCAGGAGAAGACTAGGCATCTCCTACTACACCACATACAGTCTCTGAAAAGCTGCTGGAGGGTCAGCTGGCAGACAACAGGAAAGGCTAATTAAGATGGAAAAACATAGGATCAGAGAGATGATGCATGATCCGGGGAAAACCAGCTGCTGTAACCAAAAGCTGTCTGGCCAAAGCTAAAGAAGATTTAAAGCTTGACTCCTCTGCACTCCGGACCCTCCGCCCCTACCTCCTTGTGAGCAGCAGAGTTCGACTCCCAGAAGCGCTGCACTTTGCTGAAGGTGACGTTTGTGCAGTCCGAGAGGCCACTCAGGAAGGTGGCAGAGGACTTCTCGGTGACAGCCAGCTCCATCTCTTGGTCCATGGCCGTCTCAGCAGCTTCATTTTTGACAACACGCAGGGACCCCGACTGCAGCTCATTATGCAACTTCAGAGCATCAACTGTCAGGTCACTCTTTCCTGAAAACCAGGGGCACTCGGTAAGGACATGCTTTTACCCCCCACCTCACCTTGGCCAAAAAAACAATCTCTAGGCACCAGTGGAGTCCAGGCCCCACACCCAAAGGGACCTTCAGCTCAAGCGTTCCCCTTAAACTTAGAAATTCATTAAGAGGGTTTGTTGTGGTGATTATGCGCCGTCCAGCTGCCTGCGACTCAAGGCGACCCTGTGCACAAAAGCTCTAAACTCTGCCCTATGCTGAGCTTCAGCCAAAAAGCTCCCACACATCTGTTCTGACAGTGTGAACCGCATCAGATGAAGGGGGAAGAAAGAATTTTGTCAAGTTCTACCCAGGGTGATCTGCGCCCCTGAAATCCAACTACCCTAAACAAAGCCCCAATTCACTCTCTTCATCTGATAACTAGGAAGGGTGAGACTTTGCAGCGGTCTCCAGACTGGACATAGTAAGAGAAGAAAGCTCCAGTGCCTAAACTCTGGGTCCTGCATAGAGCCCAGCCCCATCTGGACTCAGGCTGGTCCAGAACCCCGTAGCCGACTGCCTGAGTCTCGATCCTGCTACCTGAAGGCCGGCTGAAGAAGCGGCTGCGGGCGGCCTGGCGGTGGCGGCAAGTGGCGGGGTTGCTGTCGCTGCTGTGGCCTTTCTTCCAGCGCTTGAGCTTAGCCGAGACACCAGAGGGCAACTTCCCCGAGCGACCCATGCTGCAGAAAAGTAGCTTAAACGACACCTAGTCCCAGAAACCGAGAGACACACAAAACCCACGTGGGTCTTCGGTTCCACTAACTTCCTCTTCCTCTTGTGTCACTTCCTGCTTCGTCGCCGGTTGCCACGACAACGGAATCAACATCCGGTCTTACGCTCCTTTCAGGTTCTTGGCAAGGGCAGGGCTTCTCTTCCTCTGTCGCTGAGACGTCTGCAGAGTTCTGTCACCTGGGAATCCCTAGGGTTTACCTACCGAGGGCCACAGTTTTGGTGATAAGAGTAAAGCTTTTAAAAGGTAGATTTTCCTTGCAAAACTAATTTTAAAAAAAAAATCCAGCTTCAAAATTTGTTAAACACACCCCAAATTTATTTTAAGAGTTAAAACCTGGCCTATAAACAGGAAAAAACAGACAGTGATGCTCCAGCCTTACTTACTTCACTGTTTTCGTTTATTACCGGAGGCCATTCAATTGCTAAAACATCCTCACTCTCACAGCAGCTTTCAATCCGTGGTTAATCTCCTCTTTTCCTAATTCTGTTTGAGAACCAGCATTCAATCCAGAATGACCCTCTGTCTCCTTCTTCTTTAAGGTCTTTAGTTGAAACTCAAACCTTGTGAAAGACACTTCTTGCCTCCCTCATGCTGAACAGCATGCAGGTTCCTCCGGAATTCTCTCACTTACTGTGAATTGATGAATTTTATTTTGTTATCTTCATTTGTTTTTTTTTTTTTTTGTTATCTTCATTTGTTTCTGGTGGGTCTTGGTTGGATAGATAGACTTGAGCAAATTTACAAATATTTTTCAATACCACTGAATTAAGACACATATAGTCAGTCTTTTTAATGAACAAAAAGTCCACATAATTTTTGGATCCTGCTTTTCTCATTTGATACACTGTGAATTTTCACCCATGTTCTTAAAAACACATCTGCATCAACAGTTTTCATAACTGCTACTGCCAAATCTCTTAGGGACTTGTTAAACTAACTGTTGGTATCCTCTTCAGAATATAAGTACCATGAGGATAAAAACTTCTCATTTCTACTCTCAGCACCTAGCACAGTGCCTGATGTGCAGTAGGTGTTAGGTGTCTAGGAGAGTATGATGCATGGTGATCCTATGAACAGCAGTTCTGAACCCTGTCCTATCCTTGTCGTCCTTATTATCACTTTAGCTAACTGCCACATTCACTGTGTCAATCCATCTTGCTGAGGGTCTTTTCCTCTTTTGCTGACCCTTCATTTTTCCAAGCATGATGTCTCTCTCCAAGGAACAGCCTCTCTTAACAATATGTTCAAAGTATATGAGGCAAAGCTTCACCATCCTTGCCTCCAAGGAGAACTCTCGCTGCACTTTTATCAAGACTTCTTGGTTTGTTATTTTGACAATCCATGAACCGTGCTCTTCTCCAACACAACTCAAAGGCACTGATTTGTCTTCTGTCATCATTATTCAATGTCCAGCTCTCACATGCTTTATAAGTCATTGAAAAGACCAGGGCCTGAATCAGGTGCATTTTAGTCTTTAAAATGATACCATTGCTCCTTAGTATTCTGGAGAGCTCTTTGAAAGATTTTCCCAGTGTAACACATCTTTTACTTTCTTGAATGCTGGTATCTAGGTTATGGATCGTGGATCCATGTAAGATGAAATTATTAATAATTTTTCCTTCGTTTGTCATAATGTTGTCTCGTGACTTAATTATGAGGATTTTTTTTGAGTTGTGAGGATTGTTGTGTCTTTAGTAAGCACTAAAAGGAGCTGTGGTGAATTCATGACAAAGAATTGCACTGCCAATGCAAAGGCACACAGTTCTTTTTGTTTCCAAAT